ACAATATGACTCTAAATATGATCATATTATTTATTTTTATAATATATAATATGATTTCAAACTAAATAATGATGTATTTTGGTATAAAATTGAATAAACTGAAAACCAATATATAAACCAAATCAAACTGAAGTAAATATGGATTTAGAATAGTAGTTATATTTTAATAACCAAAATACTGAAACCCGATATCCAGATTAAACATCCTTAATCTAGATGAAACTGAACTTTTGTTTCGTTTTCCAAAACATAATAAAAGTAATAACTTCATCCCGCGCAAGGTGCGGGTCTTATCCTAGTTTTTAAATTAACTGTCAAACATTGTTATGAAAGAAAAAAATATATGCACATGGCCCATAAATACTTTAAGCCGGGCCTGATAATTACAGAAAACTTATAATCTTATTTTCCTATTTAAATTAGCTCTCCTTAATATGTAAGATAAGAAACTAAGACAATATTTATTCTTTGTGTTCACCCCCTAGGATAAACTTCTAGGTTTACCAACCAATAAGATGGTGTTATTTCATATTTGATATCTTTTAAAAAAGAAAATATAATCTTGTTAAGTTATATTATATTTTAAAAATAAAAATAGAAAAATAAATAAAAATAATATTTAAAAAAGAAAAAAAATTATTTTAAAAATATTTTAAAATTGTATTATGTTTTTCAAATAAAAGATAAAAATAAAATAAAAACAGTAATAATTGCAAAAGAAAAAACAATTTTAAAAAAAATCTTTTAATATATCTTTAAAATGAAAAAAAAATATTGTTACATTATATTATGTTTTTATAAGAAAAAGATATATTAGTGCTTTAGTGTTAAAATACCTTTTAAAGATTTTTTTTTTTGTTTTTTGGAAATATTATTATTATTATTTTTGTATTTTTATTTTAAAAAATAATATAATTTAATAAGATTTTATTTCCTTTTTAAAAAGATATCAAATATGAAATAACACCATCCAAGATTTTATTTCCCTATGAACCCAAGAATAACACCATTCAATATTTTTATTTCCCTAATAACCGAAGAATAACACCATCCAATATTTTATTTCATTTCCTAGGGGTGAACCAAGAATAACTTTAAAAATAAGCGGTTGAGTTTAAATAGGCGGCACCTGGGTGTGTGTTTTCGCGACTCACCAGGGAAGAAAGATTGAGAGCTTCATTGTAATCGGACTGTTGAAATCGTGATCGTATAATCATAATAATAATGGTGATGGAGACGGAGTATTACGATGTGCTCGGCGTTAGTCCCACCGCTACGGAGGCTCAGATTAAGAAAGCTTACTACATCAAGGTTTCTTCTCTTTTTTTTTTCTTTTTTTCAGATCGAATCTGTGATTCTACGATTCTAGGGCTATTCATTAGTTACAAAGTGATGATCAGTGTCTGTGGAGTTTGTAATGGACAAAAAATGTTTATCTAGTGCTGACTATTGGGCTTGTTTTGTGTGTTTACAGGCACGCCAAGTACATCCAGATAAAAACCCTAATGATCCTCAGGCTGCTCACAATTTCCAGGCAATGTTCAGGTTCTTTTTTTTTTGAATTTGGTAGGAGACAAAGCTTTCAAAATACCTTTGTTTGAGTTAGTATCTACTATACAGGCAGGCCCGGCCCTGAAAATATTTGGGCTGGAAGCATTAGAAAAACATGGGCCTATTAATTAAATAAATAATAATATTAAAAAATTATTTATGTTATTAACCATGTTCGAACCATTCACCTTTTAAAGTGTCAACAACAGTATTAACCAACTGAGCTATTAAAATAATTGAAAAATTGATCAAAAATTTTAGATATTTTAATAAGGCGGAAGCATATGCTTCTAATGCTTCTACCCAAGGCCGTGTACAGGAAACCCTTTATTTTTAGTTTATCTCTTCTTGGCCTATGTTTGGTGTTTGGGAGAAATATTGGAGTGGATGTCTGCACTTTTTAATTATATGCTTTAGTCTTGCTCACTTGTGCATGAGCACCGGGTTTGTAGTTTCATCTCATTGTTTGTTGAGCGCATCTCATCGGAAGCTTGTGAATTTTCCCATCGTTGGAGAACTTAGTGATTTGGCAACATAATAGTGGAGTTGAGATTGTTGGTGTTTGCTTTGCGTAGTATGGTTGGTTGTTATCATACTCATAAAAACATATCAGCAGGACTAACAACTACATAAGTTTTGAGAAAATTGAGGTTATCCAAGAGACCAGCATTGTATGCACAATGCTCTCAGTATTATTTTTGCACAATGCTCTCAGTATTCATTTTCTTTCGTAGTCCACTTTTATCCTTTGGCTTGTGGTTTTGAAAATGTGAGTTCTTATACAGGTGTTGGGAGAGGCCTACCAAGTGCTAAGTGATCCAGAGCAACGTGAGGCCTATGATACGTGTGGGAAGTCTGGGATTTCTACGTTAGTTTCTTTTCTTTTCTTCTCTCTGTCTCTTTTGATAGTTTCCATCGGTGATTCGCTATTTGCACCTTATGCCAAATAGTTTGGTCGTTTCTCAGTTCTTACTTGTGGTGTTCCTTCTTGCAGTGAGATCATTGATCCTGCGGTAATATTTGCTATGCTTTTTGGGAGTGAACTTTTCGAAGAATACATAGGGAAGCTTGCTATGGCATCAATTGCTTCACTTGATATTTTTTCTGAAGAGGACAAGATTGATTCTAAAAAGATTATAGATAACATGAAGGTAAACTTTCTCATCTAAATTTCCTTAACTCTTCTCATACTCTTATCAAAAATATTAACCATCTGTTCCTGAAAGGAGTTTGGTTTAGAGTATCAGAAGGGATTAAAGACTTGTGCTCGACATATCACTTGGGCATAGAGTACGGAGCACTCAGAGTTGTTCTTAATTTTTCATAAGTTGCTAAGCATGTTAGATTTCTTTTGGTTTCAGGTTGCTCAGAGAGAAAGACAAGACAAGCTTGCTCAGATTCTTAAGGATCGCCTCAACTTATATGTAACGAACAAAGAAGAATTTATTAGCAATGCTGAAGCTGAAGTAACAAGACTTTCAAATGCAGGTAACATGTTCAGTAGCATAATGTTTCCCTTTTCAAAGTTTATGATTTCTCTTACCTTCTTATGTATCTATTCTTCAACAGTATATGGTGTGGAGATGTTGAACACAATCGGATATATATATGTAAGACAAGCAGCCAAAGAGCTTGGAAAGAAAGCTATATATCTCGGTGTACCATTTGTTGCTGAATGGTTTAGGACGACAGGCCACTTAATCAAATCCCAAGTAACAGCTGCAACAGGTTAGTGATTTTAGTAAGAAAAGACTTGTAAAGTGGCTTACATAAGGAACATCTAAGTCAACCACTGAAAATAGACCCCAAGAACAGCTTTCTAGAACTTGGACTAACTCTCTTAGGGAGAAACTTTTAGTGACTTTTGTTTTTTGGCTATTCTCTATCGCCGTAGGCACATACGCTTTATTCCAGCTGCAACTGGAAATCAAAAGGCAGCTAAGTTCTGTAGGCAATTATACTGAGGAGGAAATTGAAGAGTATATAAAGTCCCATAAGAATGTGTTGATTAATTCTTTATGGAAAGTCAATGTTGCTGATATCGAAAGCACCATCTCCCGTGTTTGTCAACTGGTATGTCTAGCTATTTGGCTGCTGTGTCATCTTGGTAGAGTTTCTTTGTTGCAATTACGTTATGATTTATTTTTCGTTGTTCCAGGTTCTTCAAGATCCCACTGCCAAGAAAGAGGAGCTTTGTGCAAGGGCAAAGGGGTTAAAAACTTTGGGGAAGATCTTCCAGGTAATATTATATTTTGTTCAAATTATTCATTCGAGAAATAAGAAGGAAAGACTGATTTATTTCTGTCATGTAGAAGAACAAGATAGCCAGTGAGAGTGATCCATTATTAAGAGCGAGTGCCGGTACAGACTTCTGTGCCCTTTAAAGCGGTTTAAAGAAGAGTTGGTTACATAATAAAACATTTTTTTTGTCTTTCCTTTATAATAAAAAACACTTCCTACATGTGAGTCACATTTTGGTGAGACCAACATATTATTTAGATAATTATACCTCTATTAAAAAGATGAAGTGTATGTGTGTCATTGTGGGGGAACAAATTATATTTTAAATGAGTTTCTATTGAGATACTTTTTTATCAATCATTTAAAATATTTAAGTCTGTTAATTCATAGATAAAAAGTTTTAATTATTATATTAAATATTTTTTAAATATATTTCAATATCCACTTTCTATATAAGAAATATGGACATGGATAATAAAGTGTGAACATAAAAAATATGGACACGGATGGAAAATGTGCGAAAGAAAAAAACATGAACATGATATTGTCATCCACATATTTTTGACGGATGAAATCTTGCATCCACATGTAAAAACATGATCATGCATACAATTCTGCATCCACATGTAAAAGAATTGCATCCACATTTCTTGCACCACATGTAAAAACATGAACATGTACACAATTCTTGCATCCACATATAAAAACATGAACATGTACATAATTCTTGCATCCACATATAATATTAGTAGATCTTTAATATTAAAATTTGAAAAGCATACAATACATAAAATATATGGACACTGATTATGCATTTTTTTTTGTAATCGAGGAACATAAAGTAGGACTAGAGTATAATTATAAAGTTTGAGACTAATTAAAAGAGAAATCTGAAAATTTGGAAAGTTTAGGGACAAACTCAAAAACTTACATAAATACAAGGACCACATGTGCAAATGCATGATTCTTGTTGCAGATGCAATCTAGCTTTCTTCAATGGCGACTCCTAGATCAACCACTGCAGCTTCACTCGGAACCACCCTGCTCCTCCGTCAAACTACAACATCCTTCTCCTCACACCCCCTCACTTTCATCTCCCTAACTCTCCTCATCTTCTCCAACCACTCCCTCCTCTTCCGCCTCCCCAACTCCCAATAAAAAAAATGCTTTGTTGCAGAGAAATAAACCTAGAACGTTCATGGAAGAAAAAAGTGAAAAATTGAGTGAAATTGGATCATCTTTTCTGCTATCTTCTTATCATTTAAGATATAATTTATCTAGGATTCTAGATAAGAGAAGGATTTTGCAGATCAGAGTTTTCTTTTTTCTTCAAATCACTGGTTGTTACTAGGAATAATTTAAAAAATGGGATAGTTAATCTTTATCGCTTCAAAGAGGAATTGTTAGATATAATTAAAGTTCTGAGATTTGGTAAAGCAAGAGGTTTGAGATGGAACACGTCTTTTTTTATTTAGTTTTAGTCTTTAGCAATTGAATACGTGAGTAGCACAAGATTTTTCTCTCCCAGGCACCTTTCTCGAGGAAAGTTGTCAACCACCGGTCTTAGAGCCTCCTCTTAGTTTGACTTTCCCTTTTGGTACACCTGCGCCTCTGTGTCATCTGGACACGATTCAAACTCTTTCACCTTTCGGGGATTATTCCCCGGTCCGTTACACCTTCCCACTCTTTGTGTACTGGATAATTTTCTGTCTCGCCGGAATCTCCTAACCACTGGCTAAGTTGTACTTAGAGTCGACATGGGACTCCTCTGAGTATCAACTTGTTTCGGGATCTGACCTTTTTGCAACCAGACGATTCTCATTCAACAGACCAACGCTCAAATCGCCACTCAATCCCATCACTAATCAGATGTACCACCTCTGCTCATGGCTCCACCAAGGTACACTACGGAAGAGAAAGGGAAAGGACTCATAACAAAAACTGAAGATGTTGCACCGAGAAGAATCAGGGCCCCCGATATTGACACGTCTGCTCTGATAAGAGACAATGCGCTGACTCTGATTGGTAGGGTCACAAATCCAAAGGAACAACCGATTGGCTCACTCATCTCAGCCCTTCCTCGTAAATGGATTCTCAGAAGTCATATCTCCGGCTCAGACCTTGGACATAACTGCTTCCAGTTTCGGTTTGAGTTGGAGGAGGACCTTCTCCATGTTCTAAACAACAGACCTTACAACTACAAAAACTGGATGCTCATACTGCAACGGTGTGAGCCTGTCATCTCTCCCTTATTCCCCTCCCAAATCCCTTTCTGGATCAAACTACAGGGTATCCCCCTCCACTTCTGGCACGAGAAGATGATCTATAATATCGGACAAGATCTGGGAACTCTGGAGGAATATAAAATTTCAAAAACCTCTGCTAGAATCAAAGTTTTCATAGATGGACTGAAGCCACTCATTAAAGACTCTATCATTGATTTTGACTCTGGTGAGGAACTCCCCATCACACTGGAGTATGAAAACCTAGGCTACCACTGCTCCACCTGCAACAAGCTCTCTCACCTAGCTAGAATTTGTCCCACGACTGCAAGGAGAATCCTCTCTATCTCGCCTGTGAAAGACCAACGTCAACCTTCTGCTACCGCGAGACCAGAGGTGCAGAGAGACAGGGATATTCCTTTCAAAACAAGAGTGGACCGGCATGGAAACCCGTTTGGAGAAAGAATCCAACTCCAGGAGCCGAAAGAAAGACCGCTGCGAAATAAAATCACCCCAAGACCTGCAGTCTCAGTGAAGGAAGATAACATCAGACCTCGAAGAAATCACCCTTCCTCTGAGAGAAGCCGCCACCACAGCTATAAAAGACAGCGCTCTCCTCAGATGATCTGGAGGGAGAAATCACACGACCAAAATCATGCTCAATCTTCCCACAACTCCCACAATTCTGAAGCTACAAGCAGACCTCAGACACATCAGGAAGAACCCAACCTGTAATGCGCCCTCCCCTGGAAAGAAACCTTGCTATTACTGACTTCACAATGGAACCTAGAGTACCAACTACTGAGGAAGTTATGAATAACTTAAGGGAAGCTACATACCGATACGCAAACATGGCAGATCCAAAGGAGTCACCGGCTCGGAGACAAAGAGTCCTCAGTGATGAAGAAGGATTGAGGGAAGCAACTGCAGAGAAAATCATCGCTACAGCTTCTAGAAACGTTGAAGAAGCTCGCATAGAGAGATCTCTATCTCAGGACCTTGTTCTGACCCAGCAAAAGGAAAATGCCAATGACATCCCTCCACCATGGCCCAACCAAGAGGTCTCTACTCCCACAGCACCAAAGAGACACTGTGGCATACCAGGATGGACTAGAAGAATGAGCGCTAGTCCTAACATCTTCACTGGAACCAACCTGAGGAAACAAAACATCTCTTATGCTATTAACGCCTCACAGAGACATGGATTTCCACATGCCTCACCAATCCAACCAACACAACGAAGGAGAGACTCACCAGCGGTTTTGAGGCAGCCCAGACCGCCAACGTCTTCAAGATCACACACGGATTTTCACATCCCCCCTCATCCTTTTCCTTAGTAGTTTTGAGCTGGAACTGTTGTGGTTTGGGGAATCTACAAACAGTCCAAATTAAAGGCTCATTGACCTGAACAAGAAAAACTCTCCAGACATTATCTTTCTTTCTGAAACAAGAAATGTGGATACCTTCGTCGCAAAGGAGCTGGAACCTCTAAATATGGATTGTCAATTCCTTTTCTCACCTACTGCTACACGAGGAGGAGGCCTGGCCCTCCTTTGGAGAAAGGACGTTGATCTTCAGATTATCTCCTCCAACCAGCACTTCATTGATTCATCTGTGGAATATAAAGGGGTAAAGTTCTTCAGCACCTTTGCATATGGAGCACCGGAAATCCCACAAAGGCTAGGAGTATGGAATTCACTTACTGATATCTCACTGCACAGAAACGAGCCCTGGTTCCTTATGGGAGACTTCAACGAGATCACTAACAATTCGGAGAAATCGGGAGGAAGAGAAAGACCTGAGAGCTCCATTAGCAATTTCAGAACCTTTATGTTCTGATGTGATCTCTTTGATATCAAACATACCGGGGACTTCCTCTCCTGGAGGGGAAGAAGAAACTCTCATCTCGTTCACTGTAGGCTTGATAGAGTGATGGCTAATAGCAATTGGTCTGATCTTTTTCCAAATGCTACATCGCACTACCTTCAATTTGAAAGCTCCGACCATAGACCCATCCTTGCTACTTTTGACTCAAAAAAGAAAAAAACCATCAAGACTGTTCAGATATAACTGACATCTGAGAGACAATATAGACATAAAAAAACTGGTGGAAGAGACATGGACAGCGGAACGCAACCTTACAGTTTCGGAAAAGATCAGTAGATGCATGCATGCCATTGCGACATGGAGTAGAAGCTGCTACGTCAATAGCCAGAAAAAAAATTGTGGAACTCAAAGCATCTCTAGACACAGCAATGGCAGCTCCTCTCTCGGATGATTCAACCATCTCTCTACTGAACCGAGATCTCCTACAGGCGTACAAAGCGGAAGAAGAGTTCTGGAAGCAACGTAGTAGGCAACTTTGGCTCTCGCTAGGAGACAGGAACACAAGCTTCTTCCATGCTGCAACTAAAGGACGTCGTGCTAGAAACAGAATCTCAGTCATTGAAGATGATACTGGTAACCCTTGCTTCGAAGACGACTAGATAGGGGCAGTGATCTCAAACTACTTCAGCAATATCTTCACGTCTGCAGGCCATTCAGTGGTGGACATTGCCAACAAAGCATTAAAGCCTCATATCACTAATGAAACGAATGACAAACTCACCACCATCCCCGACGCAGCAGAAATTCGCTCAGCAATGTTTGCTATACATCCAGATAAGGCCCCCGGACCAGATGGTTTCTCAGCAAGCTTCTTCCAATCGAATTGGGAGGTGGTGGGGCCTGCAATCACAAAAGAAATCCAAGGATTTTTCTCGTCAGGGGCAATACCTTACTCTATAAACTCCACACATATCAGATTAATTCCTAAAATCCAGAGTCCTAAGCAGGTTGCGGATTACATGCCTATTGCCCTGTGCAACGTCTACTACAAGACCATATCAAAGATCATATCGCTAAGACTAAAGCCTGTACTACAAGACATAGTTTCTGAGAACCAGTCGGCCTTCATACCTGATCGTGCCATTCAAGATAACGTCCTTATCACACACGAAGTTCTACACTATCTGAAGGCCTCAGGAGCTACGAAACACTGCTCCATGGCTGTGAAATCAGACATCAGTAAAGCTTATGACATGCTTGAGTGGCCCTTTATCAGAACGGTTCTAGAAAAATTGGGGTTTAATGATACCATTGTAAGCTGGATGATGGAATGTGTGTCCACAGTATCTTACTCCTTTCTTCTCAACAACGAGGTTGTGGGAAATGTTATACCGCAGAGAGGTATCCGACAGGGCGATCTCCTCTCTCCGTATATCTTCATCATCTGTGCCGAAGTCCTATCAGGCCTCTGTAAAGCGGCACAGGATTCAGGTACTCTACCAGGCATTAGAGTCTCAAGATACGTACCAAAAATAAATCACCTCTTGTTCGCGGATGACACCATGATCTTCACTAAGACGGACCCCCTTTCCTGCTCAACGTTGGTCGAGATCCTTCATAGTTACGAACAAGCCTCAGGCCAGAAGATAAATGTCCAGAAATCCTCCATCTCCTTCTCCGGTAAAACACCATCTGAGATCAGGGAAAGAGTTAAACTACAACTGGGGATTGAGAAAGAAGGGGGAGTAGGAAAATACCTAGATCTCCCTGAGCACTTCGGAAGGAGGAAAAAATGACTTATTCGCCTCCATTGTAGACAGCATGAAGCAAAGAGCGGCTAGCTGGTCGTCACAATTCTTATCTACTGCAGGAAAGGCAACTATGATACAGTCAGTTCTCTCAGCAAAACCTAATTTTGCTATGTCAAGTTTCCAGCTGCCAGTGAGCCTTTGCAAGCAAATGCAGTCGGTTCTTACCAGGTTTTGGTGGGACGACAAAGACGGGGAAAAAAAAGATCTGCTGGAAAGCTTGGGAAACGCTGACTCAACCTAAGAGCTTGGGGGGGGGGGGGTTAGGGTTCCGTGATGTCCAAGCCTTTAACCAAGCCCTCCTTGCTAAGATCGCGTGGCGTATTCTCACTAGATCAAACAGCCTACTGTTCAGGATCCTCACGAGTAAGTACTGCCATAAGGTGTCCTTTACCAATGTAGCGCCCAACTCAGCGATCTCACACGGCTGAGAGGGATCCTAGTAGGTAGAGACCTTCTTCTCAAGCATCTTGGCAAGGCTATTGGCAACGGTGAGACCACCAGTCTATGGACGGATTCCTGGATTGACCCTGAAACGAATTTAAAACCCATTGGTCCCATTGCACTTCAAGACAGAGATCTTATGGTGGCGGATATTCTAACAAGAGAGACAAAAGACTGGAACATATAGCGTATTAAGGAACTTGTACCGGAGCTAGCAGACAAGATCCTTAGCATCATTCCAAGCAAACTGGGAGATGAGGATGCTTATATCTTGCCCCTATAGAAGACAGGTTCCTACACGGTAAAATCAGGTTATTTCTCAGTCCACAGCTTTGATACTCAATCGACATCACTCTTGAGAGAAGCTAGTACCTGGAATTGGAATAAACACTTATGGTCTCCTCCTCTGCTCCCGAAAATCAAATTCTTCTTGTGAAAGGTTGCCACAAACGCGCTCCCTACGGGAGCTAACCTCCAAATTCAAGGATTGCTAGCCAATACGACATGTCGTAGATGTGGAGAGCTGGAATCAATTGATCATATCATATTCCGCTGCGCCAAGGCTAAAGATGTGTGGAAGCTCAATCTCTGGGCTGGATGCGTCGACCTTGAAGGGAAAACTTTCAAAGAATTTCTCCAAGCATCATATAAGTGGATCAATCTACCTCCTTTGGGGGTGAGAACCAACCTTTTCCCTTGGGTCTGTTGGCAACTCTGGATTACAAGAAACCTCTTCATCTTTGAAAACAGAGATCTTTCCCCCATGGAAATTGCCCTGAGAGCAATCCGCTCATCGAAAGAATGGGAAGATGCCCAAACCGTCTGCACAAATCAGTTAACCACACCAAGCAGACAGATACAACCGATCGTGACCTCGGAAACACTCATCTTTTGCAACACAGATGCGGCTTGGAACATCGACAAGAAAGTTGCTGGCTTAGGTTGGATCTTTACGGACATCTCTGGACACGAACTGGCTCGAGGATCAAAGAACCAATCACACGTTTCTTCGGATCTCGTAGCTGAGGCCTTAGCAGTGAGAGAAGCCTAATCCATGCAGCCTCTCTCAACTTCACTCAAATCTGTCTCAGAACAGACTCCCAAGTGCTCGTCAGAGAATCACCACGGGAAGAAGACCTTCGAACCTCTTTGGAGTTCTCTCGGATGTCGACTCTCTGGCTTCTCTTTCATCTTCGTTTTTCTTGCTCTGTTCTTTTGTTTTCATCTCCCGTAGCGTTAATGGGCTTGCAGACACTATTGCAAAAGCTTGCCTTTCTTTATACATGGGCTCTGGCCCATAACTCTCTTTTTCTTTAATTAAGCGGTCGTTCAAAAAAAAAGTCTTTAGCAATTGAAATCCTTAAAGGGAAGAGAAGATGGTTTAGTTATAATGGTATTTGGTTTATTAAAATATATTTGTGATGATATTGTGTGTCTCCAACACAATGTGGCTTGGAGTGTAATTGGAAAGTGAGAAAGTGTGTGTAGGTGTATAAAATCTTTTTAAAAAAACATGCCTCAATCATGACTAAATTTTTGCACTGTATTTCAAGTGTGTAAATAAACAAAATAATGCAATACATTATTAAATATTAATTTACTATCAAATAAAATAAAATCCAAAGATAAAAAATATTATTGTTGAAAATAATATTTTAGTGATTGATTGCTCATCGTTGTTTTTGTGGTATTTTCCATAAAAAAAAATATAATATATACATATGATAAAATTACGTTAACATGAACATTTAATTTTTCCTTATGAAATATCTCATGGAATATTAAAACTTAATTTATGATAATTTGATTGTTCATATTTCGTAATTTTTTAAAAATAATAAGAACTTACAAACAAACAAAAATTAAATAGAGCATAAGAGGCATGGAATATTGAAAGTCACATTAATTCAGATTATTGAATAAAAATTAATTGTAAAATATGAGCTACTGATAGTTTAAGTCCATTGCTATAGAATCTCTTGAATCTTGATTACACAACTCAATTTTATTCCAAAAAAAAAAAAATAGAAAACAAAAATGGCAAGAAGAACGTCCACTTAAGTTACAAAAAAGAAGAACGTCCACTTTACAACAAATAACTAAAGTTTGCTTTCTTTAACAGAAAACTAACGTTTGCTTTATCAAAAAAAAAAAAAAATTTAAACCAAGAATAGTATGTGTTTTTAATCTTTGGATTTTATTTTATTTGATAGTAAGTTAATATTTAATAGTGTATTGCATTATTTTGTTTATTTACATACTTGAAATGCAGTGCAAAAATGTATATACTTGAAATGCAGTACAAAATAAAAGGAAACGGTCAAGACCATGATACGTCACCAAAATCTGATGAAGCATCTCATTCGACATATGGGCCTCAGATACATCCATCTCCTCCCTCTTTAACCACTCCATCTACTACACACACGTTATGAGCCATGTTTGTATGTGATAGAGATTCAAGAATGATTTACGATAGCTGTAAAACTGATGTGCTGATCAAGAACTGCTTATGCTTTGATTTATGAGAGATCATGAGACAATATTGTGCTGAGATCAGGAGATAACACACTGTTAGACTCATAGTCTCTTACAAAATAGTGTTGATACCATTGTAAATTGCCACTCATGAAATGCAATATTTATGTAGGAACCGCAAAGCCCTTATGTGGAAGCACCGAAGGTTGGAGATGAACAATTTAACTTTTACTTCCCAAGGTCCGCGCCGCCTCCGGGAGCACAGAGACACTCTTGAAAGTGGCAAAGGATTTGATTCGGCTAAGAGATTTTGGGAGGTCATTTCCCTTCTTGGCTTAATATAATTCTTTTAAAGAAATGAAGCTTTATGCATATATATGTATTTGTAGGAAGCGGTGGTAAACATTTATGTAATAATTAATTATTGTTAGCAGAAGAAATGATTGGATCTTTTAAAAGCACATGAAATCTCATCGTTGACAATATATTATGGTTCTATTTATATAAATGATGATGTGTTGGGATTCTTATTCTGATTACTATATGAACAAAAGCCTTAGAGAGCGAGGCATACATATTGTAACTATATGTATCCAAAACCGTACTTTGTTCCAACTCTTAGATAACAATTTTTAACTATATCCCATACACACACCTGCAGTTGTGCGTTCTTCTCTCTTGCGCATGGCAGTTTTCTGCAACATAAGCTAATATCTCTGCTATCTCTTTCCAAGTTCTTGGTCACATGAAAACAGTCTGTGACCTTACATTAGGATGACTTCTCTTTGACTCTGAGATGACGTTTAAGAACATAGCAGAGATGATCATAGCCGTGGTGGGAATGGTGATTTACAGCTAGGCGGTTGAGTTAAAGAAACAGAGAAAGCGGAAAGCCACGCCGCATGGTAAGAACAGTATGACAGAAGATGAACTTAGGTTTCTCAAAGAAGGAATAAAATATATGAATTTAGAAGATATGGAGCTTGGAGGTAACAAAACAATAATAAAAATCCCAGACAAAAAGGTTGTGTTGATTCATTTTTCATACTCATTTTCCCATCATGTACCATTGTTCTATCTTTATATTCCTTGTCTCAAAGAACCTTTATATGATGCTCTTTCCTCTGCAGAGAGCACATTCTTTTTCCTACTAGAAATATGAAGAAGTTTAGATCAGTTTCATTTGGTTTTTATGAATGTTGAATAATCAAATGAAACTGATCTTTTACTTACTTTTTGTATAAAGAGAGATCATGTGTTTTCTTGATCCAGATCATTGTTTCTGCAATAATTTTTTTCTCTGACCTTGATTAGTTTTTTTGTAATTTATAGATTTTTCTGATGCAATAAATACCACAATGTGCACATTACTCCGCAGCATGGTCTCACAGAGAAAAAAGTAACATTCTATTACAAGACCGTAAATTCCACAAGGGGTTACCAAAACATGAAGAGATATCTCTAGATTCCATTGAGTGTGACCACAACTTTGCGTGATGTTGGATCATCACGGTGTTCACATAGCCATATTCCCTGAAACCCAACATTTCCAACACACAAAGCCTTTAAAATGAGATAACTAGATGCAAACGAGATCAGCTAATAGTAGTAAACAGTGGTACTACCATAAATGAGGGAAACATGAAAACCATGTGAATCTAGTAATGCATAATGTCAGATGGAGAAATTGATTACCTGCCAAGTTCCCATGTTAAGTTTTCCTTTTGTTATTGGGATTCTGCATTGCAGAGACAATAAAACAGTTAATCAAGTGAAAGAAAAAACACACAAAACCCAACACAATAAATAGTGCAAAACATAAGAGAGTGGGTGTGGCTCACGTGAGTTGACATCCAAACATTGATGATTTGATATGAGCTGGCATGTCATCTGGACCTGCAATAATGTATACAATTCAATTCTCAAACACAAGAGAGATTCCATGAATTGCCCAATAAATAAAAACACAATTCATATGATCAAGGGAACCAACAAACACGATGGTAAATGTAAACTAACCTTCCATGGTATGTCTCCAAGGAGCTGAACTCCCCTGAATTACAAGAACACAAATAAAGTGATCAATTTAAGCACCAAGATGAGGGTATAGGAGAAGGCATCTAAATATATACCTCAGGAACAATCCTGTTGAGGAAAGTCTCAGTGTCAGCCTGAACATCTGGATCATAGTTCTCATTTATTGTAAGAGAAGCACTTGTGTGTTGCACTACAAAAAGAAAATCCAAACTTTCAAATAAGGATTCAAACAGAAGCTTGAGAAATATTACAAATACAAGAAAACTCACAGAAGACATGAGCAAGACCACAGTTAAAATCAGACAAGTCTTGTCCAATTTCCTTCAGAATCTGTTTCAAATTAAAAAAACTTTATAAACCAATCCCATATCAAGTGAATAATAGCTGAAAAAACACTCAAAAGAAGAAACCTTGGGAGTGATAAGATGACATCCACGGCGTTGCGGTGGAAGCGTGATGGTTTTCTGAGCCCACTTAGGCCCATTAGACGATGTCGCCATGGAACTACGATCGGTGGCTGGAGTGAGAACCGACTTGACACGTAGAGAAGGAGGAGGAACAACACCACCAGAGAAGAAGATCGTTGAGCTCTGCATAGCTCCTTTAAGCCCAATAACGAAAACAACAATAGCCGAGAAGATTCCTACCCCAATTCCAAACCAAAAGCCTTTCATTTTCACCATCATCATCACTCACTTTTCTTTTTTAACTTCTGGGCCTTGAATTATTTGAATTACAAAAACGGCATGTAGTTCAACTCTCAGTTTCTAAAATTAAAAAACTACCTGACGGTTTTTAATGTACATTTTCGCTTTACATTATTACATTGATCAATGTCTTGATATGATTACATACCGGAAACTCAAATTTTCCGGTGAGAATTCAATGTTTTTGCTCTTCTTCTTCAACAGTTTCTGAGCAACTCTCTTCAGGGACTCTGGTAAACACCTCACTGTTGTCTCCATGAGCGCAGATGCGTCCAACGACATATCTTTAGCATAGTAATGAACTAACTTAGGCAACACTATCTTTGTCTCATTCTGTATACGAGCGTTGTCTCTTATAAACTCTTCTTTCGCTCTTCTTAGGTCCCTAAACACGGAATCCGCTTTGTAAACCCGAACCTGAGAAAACATCATAAACGTTAAAGATTTTGTAAGTCTAACAAAGTGTTTGGTTAAAAACAACATACAGGAGGATCTGTGGAAGCTCCTGAAGAAAGAGCGAAATGAGCCAACGCCTCTGGATAGTCCAAGGCGTAAATGTGTTTGTCAGTATTAGTTTTCGACTTTCTTGATGGCGAAAAGAGTGTCTGCAGCAACTGTTTTTTACACTAGTGTCAAGCACAATGTGGTGGTGAAAATGAAGCAAACGAAAGAGAGAGAGAGTGTGTGTTTGCATACAGGTGGAGAGAAATGTGGGCGAAGGCCTAAGATTGAGCTTTGGATAATGTGAGGGTTTACGCGGTAGCCTCCAACATCATAAGCTGCCTGAGACATGTATAAGATAAAGTGGCTTAAGTAACAGTCAAGAGATGTCTAAGAGATTGAAAGAACAAACCTTTAAAACAGAGTTATTTCTTGCACGGTTGCTAGTTCCATAAGCTAAATAGGCCTGCAAGAAAAAAGAGAGAATTAACGAAAAGATCGAAAAAAAAGAAAGAGAATACTAGTTGTTGTTTGCTTACATGCATTGTGAGAGCATTGTGAATGTTTATCCAAAACGCGAGCTTCTCTTCTCGTTTCAATCTACTTGGATCAACCTTCTCAAGCTTTTGAACTAGTGATCTATTTATACATACACCATTTGAAGTAACATGTTAGATTCATTGCAAAGTCCCATAGGTAATATATGTATATACGTACCTGTAGTTTTGGAGCATAAGAGCTGCGTGGTTGAAACTAGTATCATCCAGGTGAAGTTTCAGAGACTCTATTACAACACCACGTGGAACGTTTGCTTCTTTAATATCGCCAAGGCATGGGTTGCAGCTATCAAAACTGGTCTTGGATGAAGGTGAAGGTGAAGGAGAAGGCTGAAGAGAAGAACTGGTTCTTGCTCTGCTGGAGAGTGTAACATACACAGAAGATATGCATCTCAAGATTTCTTCAGAGAGCCTACTCGGGTTCACAATGTTCTCTACAATATGAGACGAGCCTAAAAGATCTCCAAGAGTAGTGTGGTTACCCGAACCATATCTGCTCTTCTCCTGGAAACATCAAACTAGTAAGTAACTGATAGCTTTTTAAGACAATGTTTGTTGCAATGTGGTTTACTTACTCTTGCAGAAAAAGCTTTTAAGCTGGCTTGGAAACTCCGAGGACAGGAAGAGGAACGTTCAGAGACCGGAGAAGCTTGGTAATGGTAGCTGAGCACACCGGTAAGGTCAGATGGCTCGGATTTGGGACAAAACTGGTTCGAGACTAAGCTTGTTTCAGTGTGAGGAGAGAAAGAAGTAACTTGTTCATCAAAAGCTGTCCTGTAAAGAGAGAGCAAGTACTGTTCCGTACGCAGCATCTCAAACTCAAGTGAAGCAATCTCCTTCCTCAAATCTTCTGAAGACTGCACACAAACACACATAATATAGTTGCTCATATCTAAAGGAACTTTGGTAAGTAACAAAGAATCTATCAAGTTTATCATTACAAAAGATCAGACCTTTGGCATTACGTTGCAATGAGAATCCTTATGAGTTAGTAATCTCTTCTCAATAGATACAAACTGCCATGACAGACAAAATGTGACTTTTAGAACCAAAAAGAGAAGCAGATTAAGACAATGATCTAAGCTTTGCTTTTTTTTTTTAAAAGAGAATGAAATTTACCGGTTGACTGTAGCAAGAGAATCTAGAAGGTGATGCAACAATCACACTCTGCTTCTCCGAGTTCCTGTAACAAAACCCATTCTCATTAAAATTATAAAAGATGAAACCTTTGGAGAAAGAAAGAGACAAAGGTAAAATAAAACCTTGTTACCTTGGAGAAGAAGAAGAATCAGGAGGTGAAGAAGGGCAACTCAGACCCATCATTTTCTCCCACTCCTTTCTTTTGTCTTTCTGTAGAAGAAACTCATCACTTAACTGAAAGGAATAATAATAAAAATTTAGACATCCCATCCCATCCCATCAGTGTCTTCCTTTGAGATGAGAGCATTTCTCGAAAAGCTCCATCCTTTTATTTTTACCTTGTCGTTTACTATGTTACTCCAAAAACATTATATTAAAAAAAATATCATATCTTTCCGGGGAAAACATAAGCGAGCAACCGACATTTTTCCCGGGTGTTCAGACGATATTATCCCAAAGTACTTTTATTATTCATAAATCAAGATTTAATAATGATTTCATTTTTTTCTTAATTCCTAGTCTCTTATCTTATGTTTTTTTAGTACACTCACTTGGTCCAGTGCTGAAATCTTTAGTACTCTGAAATAATGACATAAATCTCACAAAGCGATAACTACTGATAACATATAATATAAGAATATAAATGTATTGTGATTCATTTATCATATGATATATAACTCCTTGGAATAGGTTAAGAATCATAAAGCGAGCAATTAATGCCGTCGATCTCAATACAACTAAGTAAGTGGGGACATTTTAACAAGAACCACAAAAGAGTTGACAATGTGACATAAAATATTTACTCCACAATAGTTTTCTGGTCGCAGATGACAAACGTATGGACATAGACCATCCAGGATAAGAGTTGTAAACCTTGACTTGGTAAAACAAAACAACCTTTGACATGTAAAAGCATGTAGATTCGAATAAACTATACGTAAGTTTGTAACAGTAAAGACAACAAGTAACTTTGTAAAACCGTACAGAATCTAACAAGAGGTATGAATACTAATAAAATCTAAACATTAAGATGGTGAGCGTGGGACTAGTCTCCAATGTTTCATTTTGGGTAGTTTGTATGAAGACAGTATTAGTTGGATAAGAACAAATAAATGAATTGAAATAGACTGGTGAGAATGAGGCTAGTGTTATAACAAATCACACAACCTTCCAATTAGAGTTTCATCTTCGACGTGGTCCATTGGGCCAGGCTAGTAAATGCCATCCAATTTTGGCACCACTCTTATACATTTAATATCGATGTGAACACAAAAATTGTGGAAGTTCCACTGAATCTAAGATAGTTACACCTTCCCATGCACTCGAAACTGATTACACAAGGACAAAATATGGTTAAGGAAATGTAAACCTACTTATTTTGCTAATCATTTATACAAAGGGATTTTATTTTATTATAAAACGAGAAATGCTAGGAAAGGCATTATAATCATTTTTTATTCCCTTCACCAAAATGAATCATCTCATTACATGTTCTTAAATCGAAGGGAAATTAAGAAAAGGCATAAAATGAATCATCTCATTACATGTTCTTACATGGAAGGGAAATTAAGAAGAGGCATCTATTATTAATAACTCCTATTATCAAGCTGATATTTGTCCCCCCCCCCCCCAAAAAAAATCAAACTGATAAAAATACTAACTGGAAACTTACCTATTCTTTTATTTTCTCACTTACAGTCATAATCAATGAACCAGACCGAATTGACCCATAATGAAAATTGGCTTCCTTTCACGACATGTATTTACTGTCCAAAGTTTTCTACTTTTCAAACAGTTGGGACATTAAAATTCGATGATACTATAGGATTCAAAAGATCAATTAAGTATAACTCATTTATATTAATTTGAGAAACTAACTCAAAACTCACGTTTTTTAATCTCAAAACCTATTAAGATGTGTCGCACAACGACATCTGCTTTTTAATCTCAAACTCCTATTAAGCTTATTAATATATTTGCCTAGGAAAAATAAAGTCAAGAGAGAGAGAAATAAAACTTTGCTCTCTAGAGTCTTAATTTTTCAAACCTTGTAACTCTAGAACCACTGCCGTTTGCTCTTGTGTTCGGTGGCCGGAAGCTCTCCAGCTCCGGTCATCACCCCGGCCACCCTAGTCTTTAGCCTATTTCCTTAGCATCCTCTACCCATCCTCCTCCTCTTTGTGTGGTCTTCTGGATTTTCACCAGATTTCCAGGTGAATCTAACCGAATTCTATATGTGTATATGGTCTCTCTGGAACACCAGCGAGGAGTGGATCTGTAGGAGATCTTAAGGAGCCTTCGAAATCGGTCATGGCTATTCAGTCGGAGCAGATTGGGTCAGATCTGACCTTACCACAGCCGGAAAAGATGGTGAAGCGTCGCTGCCTCCTCCTTCCCTCAGCGGCACGACTTGTACCTAAACGATTGGCTGCTTCTGTCAAGGTCTCGTCAGAGCTTCTCCCCTCTGTTTTGGAAAATCGACAGTGCTAAGGCTCACAGTCGTTGAGGACCTCAGTTTCTAGATCCAATTGACAACTTCCATGGTGTGTAATGATGTTAGTTTGGAGCCTCCCATTCTTGCTATCTGTCACCGCTCCATTAGGCTTTGAGGACGGCCTCTGCGATGGTGTTAACGGCCTCAAGGCGAGCCTCCCTTCTTGTTGCAGCTCATGTTTTTAGAGGAGAGTTCTGTCTTTTCCTCTGGTACTTCACTTCTCTTCTCTTCACGGGCGCAACCTCAGTGTGCTTCTCCGACGACTCAGCCGCATCTTAACGTCGCGTGGCCGGTTGGGGAGCCAAATTTGCCGCCTGCACTTGACAGGTCTGTTCTTCATGTCTGGCGGAGTATTGTCGGATCCACTATGGGGTTTTGCTGCCGAGAAAGCTTCGTTTCTGGTTCTTCTCGGCGTCTTCCTCCTCTGGTGTCCCGGAGCCGTTGGCCGCCTCCGTTGAAGCCGCTAGGAGCCACCCTCGATGAGTGTTGGGGTGTTCCTATCTTAGCTTTGTTCATGTTCTTCATGGTTCTTCCGTGAGTGATACAAGTAGCATATTCTCTATTAGCTCCATGAACACTATTATATTTGTTCTGGTTCTAATTCATGTTTTTCTTAGGGTTTTTAAAAAAAATTTTGCGAGCCCTATGAAACGGAATTGCTGTCAAGCAGATTCGGGTTCAGCTATGTTGTAACCAAGCTTTCATTCTTGAATGATATTTTACCATTTAGCAAAAAAAAAATCTACTTATATAGAGCTTGTGTTTATCCTAATCCTATTAGACAAAATCATTACAGATTACTCCTACGAATATTATGTTTGTATATCCATAACTCAGTAGGATTAGGATAATGCCTTGCACATTAATCTTCTTTTCTTTTCAAGCTTACTTTAACAGTCTCCCTCTTAAGCTTGAAATCTTTTTTTGACACTTCTTGCATTCCGATCAAATCCTTCATTTCTCAGAACTTGATTCTGCCTAAAGTTTTGGTCAGAAGGTCTTCTTTCTGTTGATCTCCTGAAACGTGCTCCACAACAATTTGTCACCTTTCAACACACTCTCGTATAAAATGATAATGGGAGTGTATATGTTTGCTCTTCTCGTGAAAGACAGGTTTCCTTGTGAGAGATTTAGCCGACTAATTGTCAATTCTGATCACTACCTTTTGCATTGGTTCCTCGGTGAACTCACCCAGTAGCTCTTGCAACCATATAGCATGTTTTGCAGCCTCTGTTTCTGCCATAAACTCTGCTTCACAGCTTGAAAGTGTGACTGTCTCTTGTTTTGCCGTGCACCATGTGATCAAGCTTTCTCCTAGGTAGAATATATGAACTGCAGTGCTTCTTCCATCATCAGGATCAACATTGTATCTATTATCACTATAGCCAATAAGTCCAGGAACACTCGGTGTTGATCGAGTAAAAGACAGCTCAAGTGATGTACTTCCTTGTAGATACCTGAGGCAGTGCTTCATAGCTGCTATGTGCGACGCCTTTGGATGCTGCATATATCGAGTTAAGACTCCCACAGTATATGACATATCAGGTCTAGTATGCAGCAAATATCTTAGGCATCCAACATTTCTTCGGTAACTCGTTGCATCTATGTCTTCTTCTTCAACTGCCTTTTCAAGTTTCAAGTCGTGTTCCATAGGACTGTGAGACATGTTGCAGTTCTTCATTCCAGTTTCTTCCAAGATTCTCAATGCATATCGCCTTTGATTCAGAGTTATGCGACCTTCTTCTAGACATACTTCAATACCAAGGTAGTAGCTCAACTTTCCTAAATCACTCATGTCGAATTTAGAGGACATCTCTATCTTGAAATCATCGATGATCTTTGAAATTGCTCCAGTAATGAACAAATCATCAACATACACAGCTACAACAAGTATGTTTGCATTCACTGTCTTCCTATAGACCGAGGGCTTCTTAGAACACTTCGCAAACCCTAGTTTAAGCAAGATTCTATTGAGTTTGTTGTTACATGCCCTTGGTGCTTGCTTCAGTCCGTACAGTGCCTTGTGGAACTTGTATACCTTCTTCTCATTTCCTTTAACTTCAAAACCATCTGGTTGCATCACATAAACTGTCTCTTTTAAATCTCCATGCAAAAATGTTGTCTTGACATCGAGATGATGGACATCCCATCCTCTAGTAGCTGCAATACTTACTAGTAGTCTAATGGTTTCAAGTCAAGCCACAGGAGAAAAGACTTCCTCATAGTCAATTCCATATTGTTGTACGTATCCTTCAGCTACATGATGCAATTTGTATTTCTTGATAGACCCATCTGAGTTGAACTTAATCTTAAATAACCACGAAGTTCTATTAGCTTCACGTTGTCTGGAAGATCCACTAAACTCCACACTTTATTCTTCTCTATCGACTGTAGCTCATCCTTACACGCCTCCATCCATTCCCCTAACTCACTTGCCTCTCTGAAACTTCTTGGTTCTTTGTTTAGATATAACAACAACATCTCTCCTTCTTCATCTGCAAGTAAGACATAATCCTCTAGGTACTTGGTCGTGATGTTTGTCTTTTACTACGTCTCAGGACTCTAGTTCGGGATCACTTTCATTTTCTTCCTCGATATGCACTGAGTTTGTAACCATAGTTTCAGACTCATCAGGTTGTTTTTCATCCTCTTTATTGCTGCTACCTGGTTCTAGTGCTTGTATTTGGTCGGGATGGACATGATCTATTGGCTTTGATATTCCATGGTTTCCAAATTCTCCAAGTGTGACACTGAATTCATCGTAGTTCCTTAATTC